CGCACCGGCAACACTGGTGCACTTTGCTACTAGATTATTTTCATGATATTAACTTGTCTTGCAAAAATAGTCAGCGACAAATTGGCGGAGCCTTGAAAGCTGTTTGCATAGGCGCTTAATCAAACACGACACGTACTAAAGCATCCTAAATGTATTGTTTGCGGACTTGCAAAACAGTTTGCGTGATCTCTCGCGTGTCCGTACATGATGCGGACAAAGGACATGGGAAAAGTGTGCCAACATGGTTTTAAAATATGCACAGGGAGTTTCAGTACTCCAGCTGCTTTACTTGCGGAATTACAAAATAATTGGCAGCGCGCACCGGGCGGACCTCTGCGATCATGCGTTTTTGCAGTATTTCTTGCTGTAATGAGATCGCTCGGAAACCCACTAGCTAGAGTGAGTGACATACTAGTGCTCGAAATTCAGAAAATTAATTATTATGCGGTACTTGGACAGGGAACATTTCATTAAAATTTCAGCTTCCCTAGTTTCCGAATTAGCCATTCTCTCGCCAATAATTTTCGCGGGGCCGTACGTGAGAACAACACAAATAGAGGGGCTGAATTTAGTAATTTTAAGTTGTAAATATGTTGGGAATATCCCTTGAAAATTTCAGGTTCCAAGCTTTCCTGGTTCCCGAATCAGCCATTTTCCCACCAAAAATTTCTACAGGGCTGTACGTGAGAACTGCGCACAGAAAGGAGCTGAATTTAGTAAATTTAAGTTGCAAATGTCTTGGGAAAATTTCCTCAAAATTTCCGCTTTCTAGCTTTTCTGGAACCTTAGTTAGCGATCCTCCCGCCAGGAACCTTTACGGAGCCGTACGTGACAACCACAAATGCCTGGAGGCTGAATTTGAAATCTTTGCGTTCCACGTGGAGGAGGAGCATAACTGCAAAGTTTCAGCTTTCTAGCTTTTCTAGTTCCCGAGTTAGCAGTTCTTCCGCCAAAACTTTGAGGTAATCGTACGCCGGACCCCGTGCGTGAAGGTCGGTATCGCGGTCCGAAAATGGCACTTGGTCCGGGAACCTATTGGCAAAATTTTGGCGCCGGAGCTTACATG